AATACAGTATACTTTCACAACAAATTATATCATTTTTCCCACCACAAAGAATTAACCCTCTTCTCTGGTAATTTCCCTTGTGCAAGAATGTACAATATGAATGATAAGCCTAACAGGATCTAAAGAGGCAGGGCTACAGAAAACCTTTCTTCTCTAACCATATTTACCTCAAATTTATCTTGTAGTTACCACATGCTTACTTCTCTGTGACCTTCTTTTTTATTTTTTTAAGATTTTATTTTTAAGTAATCTTTATACCCAACGTGGGGCTCAAGCTCACAACCCTGAGATCAAGAGTTGCATGCTCTACCAACTGAACCAGCCAGGTGCCCCAATTCCTCTGTGACCTTCTCATGTGCAGAAACCAAAACAGGAAATAGTATTAAATAAGAATTTCCAGGTGAAATTAAAAAATAAATTCAATAATAAAGTAGAAAAACGTTAAGGGAAAAATTCACATACCCATTTCTAGTGCTGTGCATCTTAGACTGTATTTGTAGATCTCAACATTGATTTATTAGGTTCTCAATGACGATCTAATAAAACTATGAAATTTGTAAAGAACATCAGAGAAATAAGATTATGAATTTGCCAATGCATATGAACTAGAAAATATATTAACTGTCTCGCACGAATAGGACAATTTCAAATTATTTTTCCACAAAATCATTCTGAAACACAAGTCAGCTTATTTTAAAAAGAGATTACAAATATTATGATAGCTATGGACAAAATACTTATTTGTACACCCTACTTAACATTCTAGGTAAAAGTATCTTTGAAACTTTTTTGCTGTTATACAGTATTAGTACTATACTACATAATAAGTACAGAAGGAATGTGAGAACTCTTCTGCTTAGTACATTATAAAATCACATTCAAGTGCTGTATACACTTTGCCTAGAAGGATTTAGAAATGCTACTTGATGAATTCTTAAGTCACCGTACTGATTTTAAAAGTTTTTTAAAAAGATATTCATGTAAAGATATGGCTCATTTAGCAAACACCCCAATTAGCAAATGGACATGAACAGACATTTCACTGAAGAGGATAAACAGATGGCAAAAAAACACATGGAAAGATGTTAAACATCATAATTAATTAGGGAAATGCAAATTAAACCACAATGAGAAAACTTCACACCCATCACACTAGCTAAATAAAAAATTGTGATATCAAATGCTGGTGAGGATATGGAGAAACTAGATCACTCATACATTGCTGGTTGTAATGTAAAATGGTACAGCTACTCTGGAACAGTTTCAAAGTTTCTTGTGAAGATATGGCTCATTTAAATTGAAACCTTGCATCATTTATTTTCTAAATAGTATAGATATCTATACAGACAGCCATTTTATTTTAATAAACCACATTTATAATAAAGGGGGGAAAGGCAGTAGAAATAGCATACAGAAAATTTCAGAAGTATCTGATTCTTCAGGTTCCTGTCTCTAACATTCCCACTCCCAAGATCATTCCTGCATTACCCTAAGGGCAAGGGTCCCATGGGAATATGGTGACAATATAGCCAGTGACTTAGAACCAGTGCTGGTACCAAAATATCTATGGCTATGAGGCTCCAAAACTTAAAAACAAACAAGGATCACCTACTTGACTTCCTTGGGGTTACCATTTTGACTGGTTTGAACCAGATGACCTGGCATTGGGTATGCAAGATGATGATTCTGGGGTCAGGTAGGTCCAGAGTATATTTTAATTCTAACTGAGAAACATGATCTAGATTTCCCAAAGGAATTCAGAGTCCTTTGGGGTAGATTCAAACCTTCTAGGCTATGTCTGGATGACTCTAGAATCACTTCAAGTTGAAGAACTCCAGGGTCCTCTCTTCGGAGAATTATAAAATTCTTGCCAAACTCCTGGGTTAGATTATTTTTCAATGAAGACTGGTCCCCAGTATAAGTCCTCTGCAGAAGGGGATGTTTCTGAAGTTACTTCCCTCTAACATCAGAGGGTTTGGCGTTCTTAAGATTCAATCTGTGAGCTGTCTGCAGTCAAATACACAAAACTGGTGAATGGAAAGGCTTCAACTGTACCTTAGAAAGTTGATATAGTTATGTGTATTTATAGATGTGTATCTCTACACAAACACATATGGAAATACATAAACATATGAAGAATTTAAAAATAAACAGTAGGAGGATTCTAGCTCTCATAAGCTGACCATTGAACAACATGTGGGTTAGGAGTGCCGACCCCCCCGCGCAGTCAAAGATCTGTATATGATTTTTGACTCCCCAAAAACTTAACTACTAATAGCCTATTGTTGACCAGAATCTTTACTGATAATACAAACAATTAACACATAGTCTGTATGTTATATGCATTATACACTGTATTCTTACGGCAAAATAAGCTAGAGAAAAGGAAATGTTATTAAGAAAATCATAAGGAAAATACATTCACAGTATGGTACATATATTTATGGAAAAAATCTGCATATAAGTGGACCTGCACAGTTCATACCCATGTTGTTCAAGGGTCAACTGTTGTCCTTCTTAATCCAACAAAATATATTTTACTTGCAACAAATATAAGCTGCTCCTTACCAACAAATGTATATAAATCAGGGATAAAATACATATGCAAAAAAAGTTGCGCTTATAAAGTAAAAATTCACCGCACCAATAGGAAGGCACACAGTTAAGTTCTGTGGAAGCAGACATGGTTTCTGCTTTTTTTTCTTAGATTGTATTTATATGAGAGAGAGAGAGAGAGAGCGCGTGCGGGGGTGGGGGGTCATAGGGAGAAGCAGACTCCCCACTGAGCAGGGAGCCCGATGCGGACTTGAACCTGGGACTCGAGGATCATGACCTGAGCCGAAGGCAGTCGCTTCACCAATTGAGCCACCGAAGCGCCCGACATGGTTTCTGCTTTTGCGGAACTTCCAGTTTGATGGGAATCTTACACAGAGGCAGATAAAAGACAGTGATCATCTCTTTTGTTCAGAGATGAAAAGGAAGCAAAAAGGCAGATCAAATCAAGATGCTCTGCAGACTACATTAATCCTATGCTGAAGTCATAAACCCACTCATTAAGACCACAGAGGATGCAGGAATGGGGACAGGGGTGAGTGGGTAAAAACAGCAGAAGACAATTACAACATAAGATTTTTCTTTTTTTTGCCTCATTAACCAGTAAAGTAGAAACCCTATTTATTTTAAGATACAACCACTTCTTTTTGCTAACTACCATTTCCTAAGGTAAAATAAAGGCAGAGAGAAAAGGAGCATGATAGACACACTACATTTGCTGAGTCTTCAACTTTCTTCTAAGAGTGTATATTAGTGGTTCTCAACTGGGGGTGATACTGCCTCCTGGGGGCCATTTGGCAGTGCTAGGAAACATTTTTAACCACAACAACTAGGGGGATGCTACTGGTAGCTAGCAGGTAAAGAGCTGCCAAATACCCTATAACGCACAGTACAACAACCCAAGACAAAGAATTACCTGTCCCAAATGTCAATAATGCTGAGATTGAGAAACCGTATTATGGTGGGATATAAAACAATTAAAAATCAGTAAGTCTAGGTATGAAAGCATTTAGTACCACTTTAAGAAGGATTGTACAGAAACATTCTCCTACTTAAAAAGATAGCTACAGACCTCCTAAAAATATCTGATTGATCCATAATGGGAAAATAAAACATGCTGAGAAATGTTGGCACAATTTTTTTTAAACTGCAAATATTTTAAACTGCAAATATGCAAATATTAGCATATAAATGAAAATAAACTTGGAGGATGGAAACGATAAATATTTTTGCTCAACTGATTTTGAATGTCAACTGTTTCTACAACCACAAAAGCAAATGTGGTCACGTTTCTGATTTAGGTCAAATCTGGCAAAAGATCTACTAAATTGTGTCACTAAAAAACAGCCAGACGTAGTAAAAATAAAAGATTAATTCTAGACTAACAGAAGAAAAAATTAGCCACTGATTTTTGAGGAGATGCTCAATTCCGATAAGACATGTTCACAATTACTTTTTCACATTATCTAAAAGGTATTTATCCTTTATTTTGTGGTTGATGATGAGAGAGAAGAATATGAAAAAGAAATGAGCTAACAAATTCTTAAGTATTAATAATATTACAATTCAGTATATCCTAACACAAAGAGACAGTTCTTTACTATGAAATTATACCCACTGAGAAGCAGAATCTGTAAGAAACAGTAAAACAATGGAGCAGCTTGCATGTGATCTGATTTTGATAAAACGGCCTATAATTGGTCACTAAGCTTTGTAAAAGGGACATAAGAAAAATGAAAAGAATAAAAAGAATATTATCTACATAATGGAATCTGACTTTTTACAGTAAACAAAATACCTCCACTTCACAAAAATATTTCCAAATCTTAATTAATGGAGTTAATGATACTATATATTGGCTATTATGATTCCATCAAAAATTTTAATACTTCAAGAAGACAAAGTTCACTGAAATGGAATTTGTAGAAATGCAGTGTGACACCTAGTTCTATCATATCTGTCACTGAAATGGACATATATGATGGCAACAACAAAATTCCCTGTAACAGTCACTTTTTAAGTTACATTAGCATTTAACAACTAGCTCTGTAACAGTAGGCCTTTATATAAAAAAGCCCAACTAAGAGGGAAATAAATTCATTATTGCTACAAATTGAAATGGAACCTAGCCCAAGTGGAGGGAGGGGCAAATAACATAAGAACAAGCTGGAGGGTAGTCTACTGCCATAGGACAGTTTTACATGGGGCCTGAAGCTACTCACAACTCTTGATTCTTTTACATTTGTTTCTATCAAGAAAGTCTGAGAATGTGGAACTGTCCCTGCTCCTCTCTGTGGAGCTCTGGCCCAGTAACTGTAGGGCAATCATTTGCATGAATACACTCCCATTACCTCTGTCAGCTACCCACTGCTCCTATCTCACAGAGATGAATAGATTGAACGGAAGTAAAAGATACCTGGATAAGTGAAATACCCCAATGAAGACAATTCTTATGTCACCAATGAATTAGGGCACTTCCTTCAAATTAAGCTCTGTCAATTAGGCACTTAATAAAAGCAAAAGACATTTATGCAAGCACCTCAACAACAAAGATAAAGAACAGGAAGAGCAAAGCAAGATTTATATCCACTACCCGCATTTTGTAAAAAATGGGATGTTACACTTCAGCCAGAAGTTTTTGAAAGAAATCCTTTTCTTTCAAATATTTGAGAAAGAAAATATTTTCTTTTTCCTTATGAATCATTACCCTTTGTAGTTTTATTCACTAAAGTTATTTTTTTCAATACAAAAAGAATGCTCAGATTTTGGTGAAAACAAGGAAAAATTAAGGCAGTGTCTTTAAGCCCAATAAAGGAAAGAACTGACTAACAATAAGCCTATGTGAGCCTATATCGAGCTCATATTTGGATATAGTATTGAACAATTATGGCTTTAAATATAAAATATTAATGTTGCAAAATTCCACATTTCCTCAGTGAGTCCTTCTTTCTAGCTATGTGAACTTCATATAGCCCATTTAATTTTAAAGAATTAAAGGAACACTTGTTAATTTTGGAACAAAACATGAATGATGCTTGACCCAGAACTATTAACTCAGATAGTAAACAATTACGTTCGTATGTATTGCTGACCAAGTATAAAAAGGAGGAGGACCCACAGCTGTCAAAATATGGCTGGAAATGGCAAACGTCCTTTGGAATTTGCTACAAAACAGAAGATACAAAGTTTTGAGGTACTGTTGCCTTACAATCTTACCAAGGTTTAGATTTTAAAATGAGGGATATTTTGTTTTGTTTCGTATTCAAAAAAGCAATGTTTTTTCTCTCAGGTTGCAGAGCTCATCTGAAATCTTCTCAGTCATTGTCGTATTGGTTATTATCCCTGAGCTGTGTCTCCTCTGCGTGTCGTATCAACCAGCCGTATATGGTTTCAGTCGTTCCAGTTAGTGCTACATCTTGTTATACCAATTCATGGAGCGTTTCACTGCTTTGACCCAGTTTTCCATACTCATTTCATATTCTTGCCATTTCTTTTGTGGCTTGAAAACCACTTCACTTTGCCTCAGTTTCTTTAGTTCCTCCTTGTCAGTCCAAAACCCTATATATAGATAGAAAAAATTACTCTCAAATTTTAAGGCAGAGAAGGAGTCCATAAAGTTTATCCACAAACCTACACAAACAGGTGCACAGGTAAACAACTATTGTTTTAAAACACAATTTAAAATATTTTAGTGCTTTTGAATTTTGTTAGATTGACTATCCATGGGAATAAATACACCAGGATTTTAAAATCATTTGGTTTCTATCAGCTTTATTTCTGTGTGGCAGGACACCAAACTATTTCTAGACCAACCTCTCCCTATCATCATTCAATTTCATGACTTTCTATGAAGAAAAGAAAACAAGTAAGAAGTTGTGTACTTTCCTTTTACATAACTAAAAAGAAAACAAAGATAAATTAGGATTTTTGTCATATATCTTGAGGTAAGAGGCAACTCCCTGGGATATGCATAAATTCAAAAGTGGGACTGCATATAATTAGTTTCTATTTCAAACTATTGTATCTCACACAAGTTATTTAAATCCCACTTCATGATTATATTGTTCTTCACAAAGAGGATCATGTGATTTATAATAAAAAGCAGCAAGAAAGCGCATTTATAACTATGACCATAAGTAGTCTGAAATGGCTGAGGTGTTTTATTAATTAACCTGGTATATTTCACTTACTCTGAAGTACTAACACAGTTGACAAGTCTTCTTGAAGGATATTTTCTCTTACCAATAAAGCGGACACAAAATTCCTTCCTCTCAATTTTTCTATCAGACCACTTTCTTTCTAACTGACAAAGTCAGCATTTTAGACTCATCTATATTCAAAGATATTAATTTATAGATGTTATTAAGACTAAAAATAGTTTTTATTAGTATACTAAAGTTAGATAAGTCTAGTCATGAAAATAAGCATGTTCTTAAAATCCTTATTTCCAGAATTATTTACTCTTTAAGACATACATATTTTTTTTTAAAGATTTTATTTATTTATTTGACAGAGAGAGACACAGTGAGAGAGGGAACACAAGCAGGGGGAGTGGGAGAGGGAGAAGGAGGCTTCCCGCTGAGCAGGGAGCTCGATGTGGGGCTGAATTCCAGGACCCTGGGGTCATGACCTGAGCCGAAGGCAGACATTTAATGACTGAGTCACCCAGGCGCCCCAACATACATTTTTTTTTTTTTTAAAGATTGATTGATTGATTTAGAGTGTGAGCTGGGGGAAGGGCAGAGGGAGAAGGAGAGGGAGAATCTTAAGCACTCTGTACTGAGCACGGAGCCCAACACAGGACTCGATCTCACAACCCTGAAATCATGACCTGAACTGAAATCATTAAGAATCAGATGCTTAACCGACTGAGCCACCCAGGCACCCCAGGACATACATATTTTTTCAAGTAATTTTATTAAGTATGTATCAGATAGACTCATTTCCTGGGTGAATTTTGAAAATACAGAGGATGTGCATAGCCTTCAAGTCTCAGATTCCTTAAAAAGAAGCACTCAACCAGAAATCTCAGCTTTTCTGAGATGGTAAAACTGCTCCCTGTAGTTAGTGAAGTCTCTGTATTAGAAAGGTTTGAAATTAAGTATAGATATGATGAAATAGCTAAAGCTCAAGCCACTGTGTTATGTTTAAGAATAATCTGTCATATGGGGGCACGTGGGTGGCTCAGTCGCTTAAGCATCTCCCTTTGGCTCAGGTCATGATCTCAGGGTCCTGGGATCAAGCATCAGGCTCCCTGATCAGCGGGGAGCCTGCTTCTCCTTCTCCCTCTGCTGCTCCCCCTGCTTGTGCTCTCTTGCTCTCTCTGTCAAATAAATAAATAAAATCTTAAAAAAAAAAATAATCTGTATGTATTTGTTATTTAAAGTATTTAAAATGTTCAAGAGAATCTGGCATATTTAGTCTTATAAGCTGAAAAGGCACAGAAAAATTTGATTTACTTTATAAACAATATCAGAATGTTTATGAGCATTTGATTTACTGCAAATATAAGCTTAATTTATTCATTTTGCAAGAGTTAAGTACCTGAGAAGATTTTCTTTGTTACACTGCTAAGCTTGCTCAGTTACGCATATGAAATTACTAAAAAGAAAGTCAATTGTATTAAATGTGTATTAGTTGAAATATACAAAGGAATTTAACCAAATTTGTAAATGGAAATGATTATTTAAGGGAAAGTTATTTTCTTCAACTTGAATTAATCACACATTAATCAAAGAACAAATGAAAGTGATTGTTTCAATTTTATTCAAAGTTAACAGATTTTTAGTAGAATAAAGTTTAAGTTGAACTTAACAAGATTTCAAACTTTTTGGATTTGTAACTTTAATATGCTACATATTAGCCTAAAACTTTTAACTGCAAAATATCCTGTTTTGTACACACATTCCTCCCTTCCATACAGGAATGTATTAAATAATCCCAATGCCCCACATCAGCATCCTGCTTCCTAGGGAACCCTCTAACTGGCCTCCTGGAGTCCATTCTTCACCCTCCCAACTAATCGTCTCACTAATTGCCAAAGCGGTCTGTTCAAATATAGATCTATCCATGTCCCTCCCCTGCCTAAAATTCTTCAGTGGCTCTCCAGTGCCTTCACGATTAAGTTCAAACCCCTCTGTATGAGGAGTCTACCACAACTGGACCTCTGTTCCTCTCCAGCCATTCCTCTTGCTCGTCCCCTATCAGCACTTACTGTAATGGGCTGGGACATTTGCACAAGTTGCTTTCTTTATTGGACCACTCACCTCTTAGGACTCCTTACCTCCTCTCCTGGCTGTCTGCTAACTCCTTCAAAACTGAGCCTCCTCTGGGAAGCCTGCACTACTTGCTTAAAGCTATGGCTGTTCACTGGGTTTATCACACAGGTATAATAATTGGTTGACTTGTCTGGCTGTAACTAGAGACTCCCATAGCAGGGATATGTCTTTCTTTTTAAATTATTATTATTATGTTATGTTAATCACCACACATTATATCATTAGTTTTTGATGTAGTGTTCCACGATTCCTTGTTTGCATGTAACACCCAGTGCTCCATTCAGTACTTGCCCTCTTTAATACCCATCACCGGGCTAACCCACTCCCCCACCCCCCTCCCCTCTAGAACCCTCAGTTTGTTTCTCAGAGTCCACAGTCTCTCATGGTTCGTCTGGGACTATGTCTTTTAAATTCTATTCCCAGCAGTGATGGTCATGTAGTAGGTACTCAACAAATTTTCAATATGTAAAAGAATGGAGTGGTTTCTAATGCCAAAGAAAAGCCTATCTACTGAGGAAGTTTACCCAGAGACTTTCCCTTTGCTGAAGACAGAGCAGTTGAAAATTAGTTTTCCTTGCCTCATAATTCTGACTGAAGGAGTGAAGTGAGGAGGGTGGCGGTGGGAGGGGGAAGACCCATCCACAGAGGAGGTCAAATGAGTATTTTGTGAGTTATGTGCATATGTGTATGGAGCTTAATGGACACCAAGGTTTTCCAGACCCGCTCTATAATTCTGTGATTTGGGAAGAGAAATGCTATTGGCAAGAAACGGCTTTCAAGACAGTTCTCGCTTTTATAAAATCCACACGTACCAACAGCAAGGCCAGCTAGAAAAGCTGCACCAAGGCAGGACATGTCTAAGTTGATGGGTCTCTCTATATTCACATTAATCAGGTCTGAAGTCATCTGCATAACAAAATTGTTCTTACAAACTCCTCCATCTGCCCTGTAGGGAGCAAGATATTTGAGATAAATTATTCCAACAGAGGCATAAAAACATTATTAATTTTTTTAAAAGGGCCACATATATTTTTTTAGATTCTTGATTTTATTTTTTTAAGTTCAACTTTTTAATTCCAAAATTATATCACTTCCCATTGACCTGAAGATAAAGTTACTCACTAGGTAATCTTCAAACACTTTTCCTTATCCCTAACATCAATCTTCCCACCTGCCCTGCTTGTCCTAAGACTAGTTCAAAACAGGCCAAGTAAACTAAGCCAACATAAAAATTCATTTGGACATACCAGCAAAGAAAATTTGATGCTTCCATGCCAAAAGGACAGCCACAGATCCAAAAAAGAGATTTTAAAGATGTTTATAATATACAAACGTATAATAGGATCCTCCTAAATTCTATATTGTGTTATATTCTCCATATCCAAAATTAGCTTTCCTTTTCTTTCCAAATTCCTAGGACCAAGAATTTTGTTGCAAAGAAACTAGGCATAATGTATTTTTTAAATCCTGAATAATCATAATGATGAAAATACTAATAGCGGTTACCACTCACTTCCAATTTCTAATTAAATCTATTGAAAACAAAGTTTACGTACCGGACTTTTGTCACAGGGATATGGATCTCTTTCTGCATCAACTCATACAACTGTTTGTTTCTAGTAAAAAAGTCAAGATAACTATTTAGAGAAAATTCTCTATTTTTTTCCAGTCTAGAAAAATAAAAACTATGGTTTTATTTATATGGTATTTATAAAATATACAAAAGAGAACATTAAACCAATATATTCAAATATATTATGCTAACTGGAAGTCAATAATAAATGCTCAAACAAGCAAGAGGTTTCGGGCCTTGTACTTTTCACCTTGATAAAAGGGAGCATATATTTCATTTAGAAATAAATTTAATCTATTATCCTTCCTACAAATAAAAATTTAAAGCAAGCATTCATTTAATAGAAAGCTATTAAGATGATATGACATGAATAACATCTAATAGAATTCATCAAATATAAAAATAATCATTTTGTAATCACATTTTTATTTTAAATGTTCCAAATGTTCCATATTCATGACAGCCACATTCTTAATTTTAATAAACTACAACTGTGCCATAATAAAAAGACCACAGAGAAATATACAAAAAGAGTAATTCTGGTGATTCAATCTTTGAGTATAATGGAAGCATTATTAATTAGAATAATTAGAATTCTCCTTTATCAGTAAGGATACAAAAACCTTTGAAAGTCTCCTTTATCAGTAAGGATACAAAAATCTCTGAAAGTCCAAATTTTAAATCTTTTATGCCTAAGAAATTAGATACAGTCAACCCTTGAATAACACAGGGAGTAGGGATACTAACCCACCACAAAATCAAAAATCCGTGTGTAAATTTTGACTCCCCCAAAACTTAACTACTAATAGCTTACCGTTGGCAGGAAGTCTTACTGATGACAGTCAATTAACACATATTTTGTATGTTATATGTATTTTATACTGTATTCTTACAATAAAGTAAGCTAGAGAATGAAAATGTTATTAAGAAAATCACAAGGAAGAGAAAATACATTTATTTACAGTACTGCACTGTATCTACTGAAAAAAATTCATGTGTAAGTGGACTTGCACAGTTCAAACCCATGGTGTTCAAGGGCTAACTGTATTTTTAAAAATCATCTCTTTTCAGATATCAAATGTAAATGGTACTGGTACTATTACATATAAAAAAGAGATGCTGGGGCGCCTGGGTGGCTCAGTCAGTTAAGCGTCTGCCTTCAGCTCAGGCCATGATCCCAGGGTACTGGGATCGAGTCCCACATCAGGCTCCTTGCTCGGTGGGAAGCCTGCTTCTCCCTCTGCCTGCCACTTTCCCTGCTTGTGCATGCTCTCTCTCTCTGATAAATAAATAAAATCTTAAAAAAAAAAGAAAGAGATGCTAAGGAAATTAGCAATAAAAGCAGATTATGTCATAAACAGTATGAATTTAAAGGTATAAACACTCAGTTAAAATTAATAAATTTCATAATTTAGTTTAGCAGAAATTAATAGAAGGAAATGGCAATACTGTATGGGGAAGGGAGAGTTTAGGGCAGGTTTTGGTACCTGAAAGCTATTGACTCCAATATTGCTCGTACGAGATGGTATTTATTGGTGGAAGCCTTCAAACCCATAAAAGAGGCACATGCACAGGGGTCATTTAATGGAGCCTAAAGAGAAAGGAAGAATTTTTATTATTGTTCTGAATTATATGCATAGACTTGAAGGCATATTATGCAAAAAAGACATTGCCATGGTAGAAAAAGAGAATGCTAGGGGCGCCTGGGTGGCTCAGTCATTAAGCGTCTGCCTTCGGCTCAGGTCATGATCCCAGGGTCCTGGGATCGAGCCCCACATCGGGCTCACTGCTCAGCGGGGAGCCTGCTTCTCCCTCTCCTACTCCCCCTGCTTGTGTTCCTGCTCTGACTATCTCTCTCTCTCTGACAAATAAATAAATAAAATCTTTAAAAAAAAAAAAAGAATGCTTAGAGTTAAGTAGTTTTAAAATAAATGACAGCCTCAAAAAATGTCAACTGTTAGGTGGCGCCTGGGTGGCTCAGTCATTAAGCGTCTGCCTTCAGCTCAGGTCATGATCCCGGGGTCCTGGGATCGAGCCCCACATTGGGTTCCCTGCTCCGCGGGAAGCCTGCTTCTCCCTCTCCCACTCCCCCTGCTTGTGTTCGTTCTCTTGCTGTGTCTCTCTCTGTCAAATAAATAAGTAAAATCTTAAAAAAAAAAAATTGTCAACTGTTAGGGTAACTCTTTAACAGGACTTAAGCAAGGTTGAGTCATAAGTATTGGACTTAGCTATACCTTCTGTCTGAACTCATACGAAGAGAAGAGTAACAAATTATTATTATTTTTTTACAGAGTAACAAACTATTAAATGTCTAGCTTTACAAGAAATGAAAAGCAATCCTAGTATTTCCCCTTTTCTCCATCTGTAAAGTTTTTGTTTTTTTTTATTTTTTTAAAGATTTTATTTATTTATTTGACAGAGAGACACAGCGAGAGAGGGAACACAAGCAGGGAGAGTGGGAGAGGGAGAAGCAGGCCCCCTGCAGACCAGGGAGCCCGATGCGGGGCTCGATCCCAGGACCCTGAGATCATGATCTGAGCTGAAGGCAGACGCTTAATGACTGAGCCACCTAGGCGCCCCCATCTGTAAAGTTTTTAAACCAGAATTGTTTTCGTAGAGTGTTTTTTTAAAAATATCCATTAGTCATAAGATAAAAAACTATAACTATAAGGCAGAATATGTGTTTTTCAGTGTCAGACATTCAAACTCTTCTATTTCTTAGCTTAATAGTCTTATTGCCTAATAGGAAAAATGATCCAGCCTAACTTCTGTCTTTAAAAGAGCCAAAGTCTTGAGTTGGAATTATGTATATGTTGGATGAAGTTTGTATTCATCCTTGCATCCCCAGAATTCTGGGACACAAAGATGAAGAGTAAAGACCCCTGCCAGAGCTCATAATCTCACAAGGAAAAAGACAGAAGAATGGTTTCAATGTATGATATGAGGTCACAACAGAGGGAAGTACTAGTGCTATCAGGAAATGATGGTCCCGAGGAAAAGCGCCTTCCAGCTTCAGGGCCTTGAGACATCATCTCATTACCTGGAAAACTTTCTACCACCCCTTTTCCTAGTTAATTCTACTCCCCTTACAAATCTTGGCTCAGATTCCTCTGGGAAAACTTCGGATCCCAGAGACAAGACCAAGCCACCATCAGTGCTTTTATGGAACCCTAGAGCTTCACATTATATATTTATAATCACGTATATTTGTGTGAACATTTGCTAAAAGTCTATCTTCCCTGTGGAAACTCATTCCTATGTGTCTCCAGGGCCTTGCACTGCATCTGGCCTCCACGGGGGATCCTCACACATTTGTTTAATCAATGAACAAACAATACTCTTCCTCATTACTTAACTGAAGAAATTCCATATTACATCTTATCTTTACTGTAGCTGTGACTGTCCTCCTATTATGAGTTTATCCTGATTATTTTTCAAATATATTAACATGTTTTGGTGATTCACTCAGTGAAACCTTATTTATACAGTCACACTGGCCTGTATCAGGTGGTATAATACTATAAAACAAAGATCAGATTCAGCCTGTTCATTTAGTCCCTAGTTGTGTGCTATGTATTTTCTGCATAAAAATATTTTCTTCTAATATACCACATAAAATCCTGGTATGACTGGCCTGAAATCACTTTTGTAAATATAACTATGCACATAATTTACAATTAGTTAGTAATAGGCCAATTTGAGAGGTAATAAATTCCATAGAAACCTACAAATTTCTTTTTGGTTACAATGCCCCTGTATTAGTCCAAGTGAGTCTGTCTTTGGGATGATATGGCAGGAAAAACACTGGCAAGGTCCTTTGGGCCTGGTCACACCTTGCCAGGGTAGACAGTTTCCGGCCATACTTCCAATCTGTCACTGCCAATCCCATTAAATAAGCCTCCCAGACCATCAACCAACCAGGAACAGCAGGACTCAGTAAAGTTTTGTTTGGAGGCCTAAGCTAACCTAAGCTAACCTATGACCAAGGCATAGACTGCTTGCCCCCACAGGCCCTTGTCACCCCTGGGATCTTAGCCTAATCTGCTGGGGATTTGCAGGATGGTTAATTTCTCTTGCCCCTTGTCAACCATGAACCTAAACACAAACTCCTCTGGCATCTATTTTGTATTCCCACTGTCATATTTTATGCCATACCATGAACCAGTACAGCAGAGTGGTTAAGAACCTGGACTCTGGAATCAGAACACCTGGGCCCTGAAACCAGCTCTGCTGCTCACTACCTGTGTGAGACCAGCCAAGTGATTTAACAGCTCTAAATCAGTTTCTTCATCTTTGGAATGGGATGGTAAGAGTATCTTTTGCCTTACTGAGTGCCTGAGGATTAAATGAGATAATGCATGACATTTAGAACAGTGCCTGACACAGAGCAAGAATTCACTACAATTTTATATTACTATTAATTCTTACCAAAACCCTTCCCACTACTGACTCTCTTCATAACCCTTTCTATGCCTTCGGAGTCCTTCCTTCTACTGTAAATAAATTCTCCTAAACCGTAACCAGTTCTGAGAAGTTCTAAAAACTTAAAACTTAAAATCTGTCCAACGCTTGAGAAGACCAGGCACTCCAGTCAGATTCTCAGATTTCTCAGAAAAGATGATCTCAGAAAAAGACCCTCAACAGGGGGAACTGAAGCTAAAAGGCACAAAGTTGAAGAATGTTGTGTGTATTTCCAAATTATGGAAAAGCAGAAAGTATGAGGAAAATAATGACAATGAAGCAGAGGTTATGAGGAAGAAAGAATACAGAGCAGTGCTGGTAATGAGAAAAGTAGACCCACAGAGAAGAAACCACAAAGAACATTAAGAACTGCAAAATCAGTTGCCCGACTTTTTTCCAATACCAGTGAACCACCAGCTCCTCTCAGGGTAGGATAAGCAAGCCTATTCCAGGCAAACCTAAGAACCCTCATCCTCTGAGGACTGACACTTGGTTCATAGTCCTGTCCATCCTATCACTGCCACCATCACGGTAACTTTCAAGTTAAGCAGATAGCCACTGATTCCTGCCTCTGATGCCTGTCATGGATATTCTCCATTAGTAGCTCCCCCCACAAACCACAAGCCCTGCCGCAGTGAAGCCACAATGACTGCACCAAATGATGCCATCCCGGGTTATGGCCCCCATGCTCTAGCCCACCCCTTGCTAGTTGTCCTAGATTTCCCACTTTCTTCAAAGTGCCCCCAATAGCCCTGTCTCAGCAGACTCCCTGGAGAAATGGAGGCTATTGGGATCTTTTATTATCTTGCCCCGTGTTATCTATGGCCATAACAGTATTCTAAAATTAAAGGCAGAATCGCAGATACTTGACCCTTCCTCCCCTCCATTTCCCCTATCCCTCATTTTCTTTAGTTGTTGACATAGGCCGCTTATCAGTGATCTCCCTCCTATTTTTTAAACAGCTTAGTATCAACACAGTATTGTCTGAACTCACTTTCGGTTTCCACTGAGGCGTTTCAGTGCTACATTGGGAACTACTTGGTATGCAGCCCTCCCCCACGCCTCTCAAACCCCACATACTGCCAGGCTGCAGTCATGGCAGGACAGGGACATTTTTTATTAACATGAAATTAAAAACCACAGCTGTGAGAGTTTTGCCTAATCTTCTGGGCTTTAGCAATACTTTTTGTCATATATTTGATATTATTTTTACAAGCATATGGACTGAGGCAGAAGTTAAAAACAGAGCTGCCAAGATAAAGTCACTATTAAGTCCTTGAGCATATTTTTCTAAAAAGGGAAGAATACACAGTAGCCTAATTAAATCCTACCTTGGCTGATGACAACTATTCATCTCAAGCTTCCTCCTGAAACCTCAATCCAACAAATATTCTTCATCCCCTGTCCTAGGATAGATACTATTCAGTCCTCACATTACCCTAAAGAGGACACAGTGCAATTTCTATTATGTAGTTTATAAACTTTTAGTCCTTTAGGGTAATGTATATAGAAGGAAATTATTACAGATATTAAAATAATGCCTATTAAAAGCCTAGATTGGAAATATATTTTTAGAGATTTGAAACACCCTGATCTAATCCTTTTTCATCAGTTTCTACGTTATATTATCCAAACTTTCAAATTTGGGGCTTTTTTAACTGATTGCCTGAATATGGGATGGACTAGAAGTAAAAGAAATTTTTATTTTTTGAAAGGAAACATATTTAGAGGTGGATTAAAAGAATAGTATAAGCTTTCCAAAAAAAGGAATTTGTTCATACTAATATACCTGAAAAGTTTTTTAAAGGTCTTTATAACAATATGCTAAAATCAAAGGCAATATCACAGATTTTTCAATTAAATACTAAGTTAAATATTACAAAGCCAAGTCTCTTACTGGGTTCACTTTGATTAGGCAAAGTAACCAATACTCCACCACAACAGTTAACCAAAAGAAATTTTGATTTTTTTTTTTATAAAAGTTAATGAAACTTAATAAATAACTGCAAAATATACGTGTGTGTGTGTGTAATCTTAACATTATTTTTCTAATTCTCAATGGGACACTTCCTCCAAGTAAAAAATGCCAATATACGGATATATCTTTCCCCACTGGGAAATGGCTACTTTTGGTTATGATAAAGTAAGGCTAAGTCTTATGTAAAAGTTCTATACCAAACCTGCCAACTTCTCATTTCCACATGGGTGGAGCTCTAGGCTGAATGTGCTGTGCTTTCTCATGCAATCTGTGCTAAGTCACAGCTCCTCAGCCCCAGAACATACCTTTACCTTCATACTGCTCAGTTCCCAAATTTTCAGGTAAGGGAGTAGCAGGTACATAATTTTGAGTGTGGGTATGAGGAGAAAAATTTCTGTAGTTGTCACGGACTGAAAAAATAAATATATAAAATACCTGCAATCCACTAAAAGATGGAACAAAACAGACTCCTTCAGAATCTTCTAAACTTTTGGCCATTTTTTCAGTCTCAGCAGCATCTGTGAAAAGATCTGCAAAAACAAAAACAAATAATTTTAAAAAAACCCTAAAACAAAACAGAGGGGCTGGGGAGAGACAAACAGAATTATATGACTAGTGTTTACCTGCACCCACATTTATTACAAGTACAGTGTGAAAGGGTCAACACAAAGGCCAATCTACTCTAGTACTATCTGGGCTCCCACACTGCACAGGTTTAGGGGCCTGTGGAAGGTCTTAGATGAGCTCTGTATGCAGCACACCTTACTTTTTCCTTTAAAGATATTTGGGCTGTTTACAGAGACCTGGGTGGCTTAGTCGGTTGAGTGTCTGACTTGATTTCAGCTCAGGTCATGATCTCAGGGTCATGGGATCAAGCCCTGCATCGGGCTCCACGCTCAGTAGGGATCTGCTTAAAATTCTCTCTCCCTCTCCCTCTGCAACCCGCCACCCCTGCCCCCACATACATGCTTTCTGTCTCTGTCTCTCTCTCAAATAAATAGTTAAATCTTTAAAAATAAATAAAGATATTTGGGCTATTTAAAAATCAATTGTGTGCTTTCGGCATTAAAATAAATCATTCTCCTGAAGATAACACCAATCTTAGTTTTCTTTTTTTTTTAAAGAATTTATTTATTTATTTGACACAGAGAGAGCTAGAGAGACAAAGAGACAGAGAGCAAGCACAAGCAGAGGGGAATGGCAGGCAGGGGAGAAGCAGGCTCCCCACTGAGCAGGGAGCCCGATGTGGGGCTCGATCCCAAGACCCTGGGATCATGATCTGAGCCGAAGGCAGCCATTTAACCAACTGAGCCACCCGGGCACCCCGACACCAATCCTAGTTTTCTGACGAAAAGATCCTCTCTACTGAATCAACTGAAAAACTACTCCATCTAATGAGTTCCATAAGGGGCCACCAATAAGTAGATATACTAAAAGCCAATCTTTAAGAAACAAACAAAAAATCAAGATCTAATTAATTTAGTATACTATTTTTACAGGAGTATATAACATACATATAGAAAACTGCACAAATCCCAAGTGTATAACAGGGATGAATTTTCACAGCGTGCATATACCCAGGAAACCAACACCCAGATCAAGATACAAACTTCTTTTGTTCAACATAATGCTTGTGAAATTCATTCATGTTGTTACAAGTAGTTGCACTTCATTCTTAGCTCTGTATAATATTCTACTGTGCGACTACACACAATTCATTAAACTGTTCTATAGCTGATATGCATTTGGTTAGTTTCCAGTTTCTGGCTAATATAAATAGGCCACTTTAAACACTCACAGACATTGTTTTTGGTGAACATATGTGTATGTTTCTGACTGATATATACCAAGGGATGAAGCTGCCAGTCCTAAGGTCTAAGTACATATAGTACTAGCTTTAGAAGATACTGCCAAACTATTTTCCAAAGTGGTTATACCAAATTAAGGCTCCTGACAACAGGATGAAAATTCCAGTTATGCCATATTCTTGCCAATAATTTATACTGTCTATGTTTTTCATTTTAGCTATTTTGGTGGTATTGCATGGCAGTTTGATTTTGTTTTCTCTATTAACTAATGAAGTGGCAATCCTTTTCATCGACCACTTGGATATCCTTGTTTGTGAAGTGAGTCCTGAATAAGCATGTAGGGCAGACAGATCGGATGATAAGGCTCAAGAATCAGTCATAATACAAACTGATGGCTTTGTAGAGCCTCAAGGAAGTTGGTTTAATTTAATTGTATGTTTTGTTATTCTTATAATGAAAAATTGATTAAAGACGAGAAGTTTAAGGAACACCTATGTTAAAACTCAACTTAATAAGGATTGTTCAATAACAACTACAAATTTTATTCAAAATGAATTCTCAGATCCATTAGTCACATTTGTTTGATCAAAAGGTTCATATAGCACATCAAAATATCTCTAGTACTTCAAAAACTAATATTAAAAAAATAACATTGGTTTTCAGGGCACCTGGGTGGCACACTTGGTTAAGCCTCTGACTCTTGGTTTCGGCTCAGGTCATGATCTCAGGGTTGTGAGATGGAGCCCCATATCAGGCTCTGGGCTCTGTGTTCAGTGCAGAGTCTGCTTGAGATTCTCTCACTCTCCCTCTGCCCCTCCTCCCACTCACATGCTCTTTCTCTCTCTCAAATAAATAAATTCTTTTTTTAAAAAAATTAAAGAATAAAAATAATAATGCTGGTTTTCAAATCTGTGTTTTAAAAAGTCATTTCCAAATGCCTATATTTTTAAAACAAAAATTTGGAAAACATACAGGATGGCTGGTTTGAGGAAAGTTTTTGGCAACAGGCAAAGAAATGGGGAAAAAAAGGAATTTAGTTTATTTACATTCCTCACTGGTTGTTCCATACTTGCTTAAAAAATTTCTCTAAATAATCTTCCACTTTTAAACTGTTCTCAAATGAGCTTATTGATGGAAAATCTTTGAGAGTAAGCAGGTTTCACTCTGTCTCTCCCACTGAAACAGCTAAGGATCTTGGACGGAATGTGTGGAAAAGCTATCTGAGGACTCAGAAGAATAAGGCTGGTCAGGGAACTCTAAGTAACACCAAACCAGTGGTGAGTTTCCTGTTTTTATTTATTTTCTCTGATATTTCCTGGCCTAGACTCAGGGAGAGCCTAAAACCTGACACCTAGGTCTGTACACTGGGTGCAAATTTGAAGAGTTTCTACAGAAGAACCCTCTTTCTGGTCTGAGGAACAGGACTCAGGGGTCTCTACAGGACAGAAGGTGAGGAGATACTCTGGATTTTGCTTCTTGAATTTTTTTTTTCATTCTAGCTGAACTAGAAGGAGAAAAGGCATTGAAGAGAAAGAGAGAGAAAGAAAAGAGAACTTCATGGATTTGTGAGACAATAATGGCCCAACATTTCTGTGATTTGAATCCCAGAAAAAAAAGACAAAGAATGCAGTCCAGAAAAACTATGTGAAGAAAAAAAATGACTGTAAACATCCCATAGTGGATGAAAGATATAAATCTGTAGGTTCAAGAAGTTCAGCACATCCCAACTGGATAAACACAAAGAAATTGATACCCAGGAATATCATAATAAAACTAAAAATTAAAACCTGAAAGTAAAGAAAAAATCTTCAAAGCAGCCAGATTACATATTAGGGAACAAACATTCAAATGACTGGAGGTTTCTCATCAAAACTATGAAGATCTAAAGGCAGTGGAACATCTTTTTAAGTACTAAAAGAAATGTCATCCTAGAATTCTATTTATTTATTTTTATTTGTTTATTTATTTATTTATTTGAAAGGAGAGAGAGCACAAGAGAGCATCAGAGGGTGGAGGGCCAGAGGGAGAGGGAGAAGCAGACTCCCGCTGAGCAGGGAGTCTGACTTGGGGCTTGATCCCAGAACCTGAGATCATGACCTGAGCTGAAGGCAGACACTTAACCGACTGAGCCACCCAGGCACCCCATGTGTGTATGTTTATATGACACATATAACATCATGTTTATATGAGCCAGCAATCCCACTTTTAGGTATTTATCCTAGAAAAATGAAATCTGGGGTGCCTGGGTGGCTCAGTCAGTTAGGTGTCTGCCTTCAGCTCAGGTCATGGTCCCAGAGTCCAGGGATCAAGCCCTGCTTCGGCTCCCAGCTCAGCGGGGAGCCTGCTTCTTCTCTCTCTTTCTCTCTCAAATAAATAAATAAATAAATCTTAAAAAAAAAAGAAAAAGAAAAATGAAATCTGATGTTCATGCAAAAACCTGTACATGAATGTTCACATAGTGGCTTTGTTTGTAATCACCCACAACTGTAAACAACAGCCCACATGTCCTTCAGTTGGATAATGAATGAACAGACTGTGATATATCCATCACATAGAAAATTGCTGAGTAATACAATGGAATGAACTATTGATACATACAAAAACATGGATGAATCTCAAAGGCATTATGTTGAGTAAAAGAAACCTTCTCAACTGGTTGTAGGATTCCATTTATACAATACTGTGGATTCCAATATCCATTTATATGATTCCGTTTATATCAGAGCCATTTAATTTTTTATTTTTTAAAGATTTTATTTATTTATTTGAGAGAGAGAGAATGAGAGATAGAGAGCACAAGAGGGAAGAGGGTCAGAGGGAGAAGCAGACTCCCTGCTGAGCAGGGAGCCCGATGCGGGACTCGATCCCGGGACTCCAGGATCATGACCCGAGCTGAAGGCAGTCGCTTAACCAACTGAGCCACCCAGGCGCCCTATATGAGAGCCATTTAAATGATACTGTATGTGCAAAAGGTCAAAAGCTTCATGATTCATAAGACTTTTATTTCAGCCCCCAACTTCTGCAAATCATCCAACTAGATCATTCGCTGTGCAAAGAGGAAAGAAGCCATGGGGAAACAGTATCAGACATTTCTGGCAGAAATGCAAAATGGCACGATTCCTACAGAGAGGAATTTGGCAATGTTCAACAAAATTACAATGTATTTATCCTTTGAATTAGCAATCTCACTTCTGGAAATTTATTGTTAAGACATACCTCCAACAATATGAAAATCCATATGCATGAAGTTATTCACTGCAGCCCTATTTGTATTTGCAAAATATTGGAAATTACTTAAGTGCCCCAATACAGGAAACTGGCTGGCTAAACTGTGTACATAGACATAGTGGAGTACTGGGCCGCTGTGAAAAGAAGGAAGATCTCTGTGAACTGATGGGAAGTAATTCCCAGGATATACTCTTAAGTGAAAATGGCAAAGTACAAAAGAGCATACATAGCTTATCTTTTATGTAAGAAATTAGGGAACATAAGAAAACATGCATGTTTCCTAAATGTTTTTGCAAAAAGAAATACAAAGGATAAACCAAAAACTAATGAAGTGATTACAAGATGCAGGGAGACAGGATGAAGGGACAGGTGAGAGAGTCAACTCCTCTGAGTGTATCTTTTTTGACTTTGGGAATCAAATTAAAATTCCACATTAAAAATAAGTCAATAAGGTTTTTAAAAAGGATGCAGAGGAGGGCAACTAAAACTGAATG